TATATATATATATTACAGCCTGTCAATCTTTTCACACCTTGGAAAGCTAAAAATGTTTGTACCTCCCACCTACACACATGCATTTACCAAACTGAGCTTTGCACAACACCAGTCATTACGCAGGTTTTCCTCACCACCCACCAGAATTATCCACAAATCGTCCACACCTGCTACCTCTGAATTGCTAGGTTCTATCTGACATTTTGGGCTATTTTGAGTTACTATAAAGTATAAACACCATGAAGGCAGAAAGCAATTAATGCTATATTTTCTCTATCAAAATTATACTACTTACTATTTGGCACTTATCTGACCTATAAATTTGTGCTGCAAGTGCCGTAAAACTTTTACTATTTGGCACTTATATGACACATTAATTAGTGTTACAAATGCCGTAAAAAAATTTACTATTTGACACTTATTTAACCTATTTGTGTTGCAAGTGCCATCAACTTTTACTATTTGACTCTTATGACACTTTCTTGTTGCAAGTGCCGTAAACTTTTACTACTATTCGATACATATTATGACCTATTCGTGGTGCAAGTGCAGTAAAACTTTTACTATTTGGCTCTTATATTATGACACATTTGTGTTCCAAGAGCCGTAAAAATATTTATTATTCTTCACATATGACCTATTCGTGTTGCAAGTGCCGTAAAACTCTTGCCAAAACTAAAAACGCTTGCTAAAACTGAAACTAAAATCTCTGACTAACACAAGCACACTGACCTGTCGGCGGTACGGCAGACGTCGAGCATGAAGACATCAAACAAGCAATGAGCAGCGTAGGGAGACGACAGGATGAAGCCATTATTTCTTTTTTGGTCCTTCTCTACGGAACTTATACGACCTAATTGTGTTGCAAGTGCCGTAAAACTTTTACTATTTCACACTTATCTATGACCTATTCGTGTTGCAAGTGCTGTAAAAAAAAATTTACTATTCGACACATAATATGACCTGTTCGTTTTGCAAGTGCCGTTAAAAAAAAAAAACCTTTGACTTTTCGGCATTTATATGACCTATCTGTGTTGCAAGTGCCGTAAAACTCTTTGCCAAAACTAAAAACTCTCACTAAAAAAAAGCACACTGACCTGTCGGCGGTACGGCAGACGGCGAGCATGAAGACATCACACAAGCAATGAGCAGCGTAGGGAGGCGGCAGGATGAAGCCATTATCTTTTTGTCCTTTTCTGGTACCTCCGGGCCTGGGGGATGGGGAGAGTGCGTGTTTTTGGATGGGGAGAGGGTGGGGGG